ATTTCACATAATTAACAAATTATGATCTCTATAAAGAGTAGTTACTTGAAGACCAAACTAATTAAAGGAAAGAAACAATGAAACTCACATAACAAATAGATTCTTTTCTTCACGAGATTTTAAAGAACCAGAAATCACCAATCATTAACATTATTTAGAAGCAATAAATTTATTAATAAATTAAGAAAAACATAATGCAGTTATAACTATGAGTATCGTTACAAATGAAATGAAGCATTCATGCAATGATTGGTTCAGGACATACCAAGAAATTTCCCATCCTAAAACTCTAAAATATCCAATGACATAAAATACTCAAGACCATTTTTAAATACAACCCTCAGCAACATTTTCAATCAGAACCAAAAAATCTAGTTAAGTCAACTGATCAATGAGATCTTGAAACCACATTTGTTTTCCTTGCTCAATGATTACTAGTGACATTTCGTCAACTCTTATAATAGTGTACGCTTCTAAACAATATTGGACTTTAACTTTTGCATATCCTAACACAACAAGAATTTATCCTATAGTGTGATCTATCCAAAAATGACAGCTTCTCAAATAACATACACGCGCGCACACACATACAGTATATGTATAAATGTATATATATAAAGAGACTAAAAAAGTAACTTACAGAGATAAGCAACTCTTTTATTGCTAGCCTCTACTTCATTAGCAACTCGGAGAATGGGAGCTATCTCAACAAGTGAGGAAGGCACTACTTCACTGTCCAAGATTGGGTCTGATCCTAAATTCCCAGCAGTCTGAGTCCGCAGAATCCGCCTTTGCGGTTGCTGATCAGAACCCCTTCTATAAGACATCTTGATACCTCAATCAATATATATCACTTCTAGCTGTAATCACTTCTATAAAAAAATTACAGTGAAAGTGTTAAAAAGAAAATACATTCAAAAAAAAAAAAAAAAAAATAGACGACAATCATAGGAAATTATGGTAAATCAGAAACTGACCCATTACAATTATGTAACATTAATCACTTTTAATTACCATAATTCAAAAGAGAAACACATATTAAGCGTGGTTAATTGACACAACCAGAGCTCCAGAAATTTCTCTCTCTATCCCTTCGTGTGTAAATTATTAAGATTGGAAAAACCAGAAGGGAGAGTGAGCAAAAGATGCAATTTTGAATGTAGTTACACCATTCTCATGGTCAAGAATGAAGAGATAATTCTCTTCTATTGGCAATGAAAAGTTGAATATCAATGAAACCCCATGTAAACTATATACAAATAAATTGGAGAAGAAAAATTGGTAAGCAAGAAAATTCCCCAAAAAGCTCATTGCTTTGATCAGTAAACGCAAGTTTGAAAATTTAGCTCGAAAAAAAAATCTAATTGTAAACACACCTCAAAAAGCCATGGATGAAACTCTGAAAGACACAGCAATCAAGCAAGAATTTTTCTTCAGTTTTCCAACTATCTGTGAGCATCCCAACATGCAAAACAGCAAAAAGGATCAACTTTTACATGAATCAAGTTATGGAAATCTAAAGGGTGAATAGGAAGATCAAGTTTACCACTCAATTTTTATTAAGGGATATCTTAACAAAAAGATCTTCACGAGTAGAAGGGACAATAGAAAAAAGAAAGCTTTACAAGAAAGTGAAAAAAATAAATAATAATAAAAAAATAAAATTAAAAAAACTCACATGAGCGTTATGCTAGTGTGAGAGACAGAGAGTAAGTGAAAGAGCAATAGTTGTCGTTGAGCATTCACAAGGGGCAAGTGTTACCAACAACTCACATATAAGTAAAGAAAGAGATCGAATGGTAACTGGGTACGTAAGCTTCTAATACAAGGTTGTTTCAAGTCAATGCTCTTTAGCGGGTAAAGTCCTTCCAATCACAGAAAGCCAACTCAAGTCTTAGAAGTGCTATGTAGTTTCTTCTTCCCCCAAAAGAAACGTTTTAGAAAAAGAAAGAGACAAAACAACTGGGTCAAGAGACTGTAGAGAACCCTGTTAATGTTATTGTTAAGTTTTGATCTCTTATTTTTTTGGTAAACTAAGTTTTGATCCCTTATTAAAATAGAGCAATTAAAGGAAAAAGTTATTGCTAATTAATTAAGTATGGATTCTTTAAAAAAAATAGAGTGTAGAGAAGATCAACTAAATTATGTTAACTTATGAAAAATTAAAATTAATTATTTGAAATATTTCCGTTATTATCATGTTCTGATTTATCACTATCAATGAAGATTACTTTCCATTATCAATTAAGATTTATTTTGTAGTTATTTAATTTCTTTTTTACTAATAGATTATATATATGAGCAAGGTTATAGTTACAACTTTTTTTTCTTACAACCATATCTTATCACTGTTGATTTCCGTCAATCAATGGTTATCATTTTAGCAAATTAAACTCATTAATTAATTATTAATTCACAATAAATGATAACCGTTGATTGGCAGAAATCAACGGTAATAAAATATGGTTGTAAGAAGTTGTAAAAAAAAAAAAAGTTGTAAATATAATCTTCCTATATATATATATGTGTGTGTGTGAGAAAATTATTTCTCAAATAACTTGAGATATATTTATCTCTGTCAACCAAAAACTACGTTATTTTATTTTTTTATTTTTTTTATTTTAATTGATTCACCTTCGAATAGTTATCCTTCCCTATATATATATATATGTATATATATATATATATATATATATGGGGCAGGATATTCTTACATCAGTGTAAGAGTTAGAAGTCTTACACTCAATCTTGACTATTGATCCACTTGTATTTAATGGCTCACATTACTAAAAAATTTGAGTCCTTAGATATAAATGGGATCAGCGGACAAGATTGAGAGTGTAACTTACACTGGTGTAAAATGATCATCATCCTATATATATATAGGGCTTATCATTTCTCAAGCTGTTTGAGATAACTGTATCTCCGGCTACTAAATCATAACCGCACAAAGATGGATCAACGGTAATAAAGGAAGAGAGAAAAAATAGAATCATAACCATTCAAAGATGAATCAATTAATATAAGAAAATAAATGAACAAAACAACGTAGTTTTAAGATATCCAGAGATAAATATATCTCAAGCAACTTGAGAAATATTTTTCTCACACACACATATATATATATATAATGTTATTTTGGACAATTTTGCCTAAGGTTCATCGAAACGACATCGTTTTGAGATTAAAAAATTAGAATAATAAAAACTATTATAACCCTAAAATAAATTAAAATTACAAATAAACCATGATTTATACCGAAAAACCATATCGTTTCGATTAACATTAAACATTATCTAAAAAAACTTTAGAAAAAATAAATCATATATATATATATATATATATATATATATATATATATATATATATATCACTCAATGTTTGATGAATTTAAAACACATAAATATGAAATCAATCAGGATTATATTTTATTATTAATTAGTACATATTTTATAATTATTTAACTTCATTTTTACTCAGACTATATGTATATATGGCAATCATTTTTGTTGATTAATTAATTACTTGTAAATATCTCCGTTTATGATTACTTTCTATTATTAATTATAATTGATTTTATAATTATTTAGCTTTATTTTTACGCGTAAGTTACATGTTTTTATTATACACACTCATTATTATTTAATTAATCTGAAATAATTCACCATCACACCTAAAATTTATTGATATCTTCGGTTACAATTGCATATAAGGAAATAAACTTTTCCTTCTTAGGTTTCTGTGTAAAAGACAAAATATTTAATGACATAAAGCAAGACCGATGGTTGTTGAAGTTATTATTTTATATTTTCAAACGATATTGATAAAATGTAAGACGGAAAAGATTAACCCACTTGAGCATTATCCTTTTGAAAGGATAGAATTTGGACGGTGATATTAGCATAACAGTCAATATAGCATTTTGAGTTGATGTCCCTTTAGCTCTCGCATCTTCCATATAAGTCTTCTCTTTGGATTCTCTTTTCTTTCTTCTTTGTTATCTTGTTTTTTTGCATATTTATGCAGCTTCTCCTGCTACTCCAACATCTCCCCTAAAATTTAGTCGTTTCGTACATCCTCTAAAATATAGTTGAAGTTCAACTCAAGTAGCAACGTTACGTTTTTAGGGAAAAAAAATTAAAATAATGTTTTTTAATTAAATAATTACACATTTATTACAGTTTTGAGAATAATTACACATTTATTATATATTGTGACGCCCTTTTTGGGCGTCACATATGACACCCCACTGAGGCGTCTCACCCTAAGGGAAGACGCCCCAATGTGACGCCCAAAAGGGACGTCTCATGTGTGCCTTATAAATACCCCTTTTTACCATTTCACTTCTCACTATTTCACCTCTCTCTAACCACGGTTTATGCTCCCGACCGAACGCGAAAATTTTCGTAGCGAAGCTCTGCCAACTTAGGTAAGTATACGTTTAAATTACAGTGCTACCTTGCGAACATGTTAGGATTGATCGTATATTAGAGACTTAGAACATTAGGATAGTCACTTAGAAATTTTGTACCATGCTATGAATGTTGTAATGATATAGTAATTTTTTTGTTACGTAGTTATGATTATTAATATTTAATTATGCATTGAGGTTTAGCGTATGAATTAGTGATTTAGAAAATAGTGATAGTGACTTCGTAAATTTTGTATAATGTTATTAATGCGGGAGTGTATTGATAATTTTGTAGTCAGTTAGGTGTGATGATTAATACATATTCATGAAGTTATTAGTGACTTAGGGTTAAGTATAATGTCAATATGATTTAATTTGTGTTCGATGTTTTATTATTATTTAATTACAAATAAATGACTGTACTACGTATTAATATTTATTTCATTAATTTCGATTCTAGTAAAAACGTAGGGTTTATGCTTAATTTTTTTGATAATAAATTAGGGCATTGCTTAATTAATTTGTACATAAAATGTGTTGCTACATGTGATTAATTTCATTGTTGTTTTATATTATATAGTTTAGGGTCATGGCTTATTCATCATCATCTTCGGATGATGCGTCGGATCCAGAGCCTACCGTTCCCAGCATGTACATCATACCTGGGCCTTATAGATGGGACGTCCTTCGTAAGAGGACGCAACATGCCTATATTTCACAACAAGTGTGGAATACGGAGCATGTGAGGAGACTGAAGACCAGGCGTGGGAAACCACAGGGGGGGCCACCTACCGGGGCTATTCCAGAGGTGGTCACAGACTACCTTACACAGGCTGGATTAATCCATGTTGCCCGAATGCGACATCTCCACGTATGCAATTTACGGCGTTTTGAATTTATGTAATTATTCAATACTATTCGTTAACACGTGATAATTGTATAATTTATTTCAGATCGATGCCCCATTAATTAGTGCTCTGGTCGAGAGGTGGAGACCAGAGACACATACCTTCCACATGACCCAAGGTGAGATGACTATCACCTTACAGGATGTGGCCGGCATATTGGGATTGCCTACTGACGGTATTGTCGTTACCGGATCTACAAATGAGGATTGGCCCGCTGTTTCTGCTGCTGTTTTTGGTGCGGCTCCACAGGCCAATGAGTTCCATCATTCAGGTGACCTCCGCATCTCATTCTTAGATCGGTTATATGCCCGGTGGACTGATCATGCTGGGGATCATGATCACGAGATATATTTCACAAAGGCGCACATTGCCCGCATGTTGGGGTGTTGGTTGTTGGCGGACAAGTCTGGAGGTAGCAATATCGGTTGTCGGCTAGTCCCGTTGCTGGGGGGTGGATTTGATGAGATTGGTCGTTTCAGCTGGGGATCTGCGGTTCTGGCACACTTGTTCAGGAACTTGTGCGAATTAACAGATGTCGGTCGATCAGACATGGGTGGTTGCCATATTCTTCTTCAGATTTAGGCATGGATACGATTCCCACCCATTGCTCCACCCCTTCCTCCTCATGCAGAGTTGGGCTTGCATTATGGATACCGGTACGCTTTATTAAATTCATTCGATTTCGCTACTGAGTTATCATATATACTAACTCTATACTTGCTTGATTATGATTGATGATGTATGTTTCTGATGACAGGTTTAATACGGTGGCAAAGTTTAAACCTCATGAGGTTGTCCATTATCCGGCAACCTTGGATACACTATGTAGAGATGAGGTAAGGTTGTCGATACTTAGTATGTTGTTATTTCATCATGCATGTATATTTTTTGTAACACCATATATTCTTTACCATTTTGTGTGTAGGTGATGTGGCAACCATATATCGATTATCAGTGGCTGGACGTGACTTCACACTAGCAATACCTTTGGCTTGCTGTCACACCCCTTATTTACTTCCACACCGTAGAGTAGGGGTGGTAAACGAGCCAGGGGCCTTTGGCTCGGCTCGTAAAGGCTTGAGCTCGTTTAATAAAAGCTCGTGTTGGAACCAGGCTTGGACTTGTATAAAAGTTCGTTTAATAAAAAGGCCTCAGGCTCTAATTCAGAAGCTCGGCCTTAGAGCCTCCCAGGCTAGCCTAGTATATAAATATTTATTTATACTTTTTATACTACTTGTAATAACTCTCTCTCATCAATTTATTTCACCCTATTTTATTGGTTTAACAGACTTTTTGAATGATTTTGTTCTATATTATGCTATTTGGATATATATTGAATTTATGTATATTTATGGAATTACTAGTGTTGTTCTATATTATCCTTCATCCTCCTTCACACAAACAAACCCACAAAAACTCATTCGTTCCACTGTGCACTGCTCGTTTGTGTCAATTTATTTTTTATTTTATTTATTTTATTTTTATTTTTGTTGGCACTTTTTTTATAATGGGCTAAGATAATATAACTTGTTATCTACCTTCTCTCACTTTAATTTTATTTATTTATTGTAGACTTTGTAAATTATTGCTGCAAATTGGAAGCTAAGGTTTCTATCTGGAAATTGATTTTTTGTGGAATTCTGTTCTCGTATTTTTATTCTTTATTCTTTAACATGCTAACAGGCTAAGACAGGCTTCACACAGGCTTTTATTTTTTGTAAATAAACCAGGCTACAGGCCAATATTATATTCGTAACAGGTAACAGGCTAAGGCCAGTCGGACACGTTTAAATATAGGCTTGGCCCGTTAAGATCAAAGCTCAGCTCGGCTTGGCCCGTTAACACCCCTACCGTAGAGGCATGTCAACTGAATAGGTGCATGCGGCAATTTGGTCTGGATCAACCTATCCCGGATGTGAGCAGAAAGTTGAAAGGGATCCATGATCATACTCTGCGGGGGAAGGTGGACGAGAACTGGAGGCGTAAGCTTCGTCCTTGGATTGAAAGATGGCAGGTTAAGGAGTGATGAACCCTTAGTTCATCATGGTTTTTAGCAGGAATTAGGATCAAATTGTTGATTAAATGATGAAAAACAAGGTTAATGTCCTAAGATGTCCTCAATTACAAGTTCAAGAGCTTTATTGGAAATTTGTATGATTCATGTAGGAAAAGCAAGCTTGAAAGACAACTGGAGAAGGAAGAAGATTCTGGAGCTCAAGAGGAGAAAAATTGCCTAAGTGTTGAGCGCTAAAACGTCCACACTGAGCGTTTTAGCGCCCTGTTACAGAAAGAGGCCAAAACTTGCTGGTGATGAGCGCTAAAACGTTCACACAGAGCGTTTTAGCGCGCTGCTACACTAAGAAGATGGAAAATTGCTGGTCTTGGGCGCTAAAACGGCCTGCAATATGCGTTTTAGCGCCCTAAAGTGGAAAAAGATTCTAGTCTTCACCGCTAAAACGTCCAAATCAAACGTTTTAGCGTTGGAGTCAGTTAAAGTTAGTTGAGCATTCACCAAGTTTGGACGCTAAAACGGTCATTCCTTAACGTTTAGCGTTGAAATCAGTTAAAAGCAGTTGAGCATACGTAAAGCATGGACGCTAAAACGGCCACTTATGGACGTTTTAGCGCCCACATCAGTTTTCTGTTTTTAATTGTAACACTATATAAGGCAAAGCCTTGACACTTAGAGGGAGATCTTGGGGGATCTGAACTCTCTCTCTCTCTTAAACTTAGTTTGACTTCTCTCTAAATTCTCTTAGTTTTTGTAATAGGATTTCCTTGTAATAGTTTGGAGATTGAAGACTTTCAACATGGAAATGAAGTTTGATTCTTCTTCTCTTATTTATTCCTTAGTTATGTCTGAGTAGAGTCTTTGTAGTCTGAATGCAATGGAACTCCATGATAATATTATGTTGATTTGATTAATATGATGAAGTATTTTCCATGTGCTGATTTGAGATTTTCTGAGTTAATTATTTCTATCAAAGAAGTAGTATAGAACAAGGATGTTTATATGACTTCTGTATTTGATAATCTCAACATCAGAATTCTAGTACTCAAGGGATTGATGCTAGAGTTCTGATGTAATCTTAAAACCTTAGTATTTCATGCATGTATTAAGAAAGAAATCACCAAGGGATTGGGGTTTCTGATTAATGTTTCTATCAAGGTAGTAAGGGATTACATCTTGATGATAAGTAAAAGGTTGATTAACATCACATGGAAAGGAATTCATCATATGATCAGTTTTTATATGAGTTATCATGGAGGAAAGTTGTTTTCTGACTACTTGTTATTTTTATTAATTCCTAATCCATATTTACTGTGTCAATTTACTCAAAATCAATTTTCTGGTGACAAATTATTCATGATTTTTACAAACTCTTATTTGATTCAAATTAGTTTTCTATGGTATATTGGTGTTTGAACACAATTCCTCGTGGGAACGATCTTTACTCATCATTTTATTACTTGTACGACTAGTGCACTTGCTAAACGTCCAACAAGTTTTTGGCGCCGTTGCCGGGGAATTTATTTTTCAACACTAACTGATACTATAGAATTCTGAGATTGCATCCTTTTATTTTCAGTATTTTAGTTTATGTTAAATTTCTGGTCAATTTTGATTATGGTACATGCGAGGTACACTTGATCCAAATTTGTTGTTGTATGATCCAGAATTAGAAAGAACATTGAGGAAGCACAAAAGGGCAGCCAGGCAAAGGAGACAGTTGCAAGAAATTGGTGAATCAAGTACGGTTAATCAGGAAGATATAATGGCAGAGAATCACATACCACCACCACCACAGAGGACATTGGGAGAGTACATGACTCTTGCAGTGATTCCTCCAATTGGGAGTGTTGTGCGCCCAACAGTGGAGCCCAACAACTTTGAATTGAAGCCTGCTTTGATACATTTGGTGCAGAAGGATCAGTTTGCTGGAACCAGTGCGGAGGACCCTTACTTGCACATAGAGAACTTCCTATTGTTGAGTGATACTGTGAAGATAAATGGTGTCACAAGAGATGCAATTCTGTTGAGACTATTCACTCATTCACTGACGGATGATGCAAGGAGATGGCTGCAATCATTGCCACAAGGAAGTATAACAACTTGGGATGATTTGCAAACCAAGTTCTTGCAAAGGTTTTTCTCAGCATCCAAGAGGGCCAAGTTGAAGGATGAAATTACAAGCTTTAAGCAGAAAGAGTCAGAATCTATTTATGAGGCTTGGGAGAGATTCAAGACTTTGTTGAGGAAATGTCCACAGCATGGAATTGAGGCATGGCAACAAGCAGCAATCTTCCTGCAAGGAATGACCACTAACACTAGAACCTTGGTGCATGCCACTGCTGGTGGATCAATGACTACCAAGACCCCTCAAGAAGCCTTGGATATCTTTGAGTCATTAGCATCTCAAGAATTTGATAATGCTCCAGTGGCTGACAGAAGGACAGGAATTATCAGGTTGGATGGGTATGATGCTTTGTTGGCAAGGAATGATCAACTGATGCAGACACAGAGACAACAGCAGCAACAATTAGATACCCTTATTAAGCAACTCTCTTCACAAAAGGTAGCTTCTGTGGAAACAAAGAGTGTATGTGCTATCTGTGGTAAGGGCCATGTGACAGAGGAGTGTGATTATGGGGGATCATCAGAACAAGCAGATGTGAATGGAGTGTGGTATGATCAGAACAATCAAAGGAACTACAACAATCAGGGAAAGAATGTTTATATGCCACCATGGAAAAACAAGAATCAACACCCAGGATTCAGCTATAGTTCCAACCACCAATTGAATCCACCATTACATCCTCCACCACCACATATGAAGGAGCAGTCAAGTGATCCTGCTGCATGGGAGAAAGCGTTTGCTCAGTTATCTAAGACAACTCAGGATTATATTCAGGGTTCTACTTCATTCAGGGAAGAGACAACTGCATTCATGCAGGAGACCAGGACTTCTTTCAGAAATCAGGAAGCATCAATCAGAAATTTGGAGACCCAGATTGGTCAATTATCAAGACAGATATCAGAGAGACCACAAGGGAAATTTCCAAGTGATACACTGGTGAATCCTAAGGAGCACTGTAAAGCAATTATGACAAGAAGTGGGTTGGTACTTCAACCAGGGAAAAAGAAGGTGGAAAATAAAAAGAATGAAGAAGAGGTTGTGGTTGAAGATGTAGTCTCTGATGATGAAGGAGAGAAAATGAGAAATGAGAAAAGTGAGAAGGAAGTAGTTGTTAGAGATGTTATAGTTGGAGTTGACAAAGAAGAGGAAGGGAAGGACAATAAGAATGAAGGAGAGGTTGAAGTTGGTAAAAATGCTTCCCCACAAAAGATGATGAAGTGGGAAAAGAAGAAGATGGCTGACAAGAAAGAACAGCCAATTAGTTTATCTCCCTATGCTAAAGTTCCCTACCCTCAGAGGTTGAAGAAAGAGATTCAGAAGCAGCACTATGCAAGATTTCTGGATATCTTCAAAAATTTACAAATTAACATATCATTTTCTGAAGCACTGGAAAATATGTCTCACTATGCAAAATTCATGAAGGATCTTCTTACTAAGAAGAGG